TACCGCTGTATAAATGTTTCAGGAACGGATTAATATGAAGAATTCCGTTAAAATCAGTTGGTCATAGGCAGTCTTCCTAACCTGTCAGAAGGCGATGGTTCATCCAACTCATGAACTGGTAGGAAACATACCTGATCCTACCAAGTTACATACTTCCAAGCCTTAGTAAGGGGTTAGAAAGACATGGAGGTTATTATTTTAGGCACTGTGTTGAAAGAGCTGCCTCTCTTAAACAAGCTTAATCTTACTTACCATAAAGCCAAAGTAGCGAAGATTGGAGATAAACGAGTGAAAAGTTAACGTGTTTGATTTGGAAGCCTTAGACATGTTGGGTTGGAAAAATACATGTGGAGATTTGAAGTCATTGCCATCAATAAGTTTAAAATGATCCTGAGAGTTAGAAAGAACATTCTGGAAGTGGAATGTGACAACAGCAGTGGCGATCATCCATATGAAATACAATGAGAAGCTCGAAGAAGCAATAACAATACCAAGAGTGTGGGCAAACCAGATTAGCAAGCGATAAAACTGATGACTAAGATCACCAATAGGTAATGCGCAAATAAATATTGAAGTTAGAAAAATGAAAGTTATAGAACACTTGATAATTAAAGAAACCCAAACTGCAGTATTCACAACTTTATAAGCAAGCGGTTGAAACGTATAACCATTTTCAACTCTTGATCTAGAAGCGATATCAAGGTAAGAAGCCAAAGGAGAATGGATGACAACGGCTACCACAGACTCATCTGATTTTTGAATGGATGTAAACGAGGTGGATATCAGATTACAACTGAGTTTCTGAGGGACATAAACATCACCTGGAAAGTAAATGTGATTCTAGTTCAGATGTCGAAAATTAAAAATGTAAATACCCTTACTTCATTTATTTGTTTGCAGAAAGCGAAGATTGTCTGACCTGGTTTAATAATAATAACATCACCTGGAACAAGTAAAACAGCAGGCAAGACCACGATTTTTCCATCTCGGATAGTAAGGTGGGTATCCAAACCAACCATCTCATTTAAAAGTCCATTTAGACATGGTGAATATGAAAGCATATTCGGCTTCAAATTTCCTACAAACAATTAGAAACAACATACTTACTAAGACAAGTGACGGAAGATCTTAAGAATGTCTTAAACTTTGTACAAGATGAAATCACCCTTTTATAACGCGTTAAGAACGTTAAGAACAAAAGGCTACTTGACAAGAGGACAAAGAGCAAATCCCCAGCAATCGATATCCAGGAGTAGCTAGAAATATTTGACCAGTCAAACAAACTAGTTTATAGGACATAAAGTACCTGGAGGAATATCTGTATGAAGCAACAGAACATGATATAAGAATAAGTGACATTATGCTCAACATAAGAGACAATATATCCGAACGAGACCAACGCAGCAATACAATACCACTTATTGGTCTTTCACTTAACGTTTCCAACATTTCGCAAAATAGTTCCAAAGCCACTGGAGTTTCTAGACCCTGACTCATTGTAAAACTGTAAGCATAATCTCCTCGACAAACAAGGCATAACAATAATCTTCCCAAATCAACCTTGAGAGATTAAATCTTGCTCAGACACACAAACAGTTTAAAAACTGATTCCGTTCAATGATGGCGTGCTACAGTAAACAGGTACTCCAATGCTAAGAAAGTTGAACTCCGAGGATTCCATAATTTTCACAGTGGTAAATGAGTAATCGCCCACTGTTATACAATTCAAAGATTAATCACACGAGTTTTTCCATAGTTTTATAAAGGAAAAGCCACATCTAATACTTAATGCACTTTGTCAGTATTCATTATATGTACATGACTCCTAAAATGAAACTGATATGTACCTGAATGTGGAATTCCCATGCAACCACCAATAATAATATATATTACTTGTTACCATGTTCAATTAATGTATAAATTGGTCATATTTGTATCAATAAAAAATTCAGATGGACAATCGAAGACGTGAAAACAAACAGAGGTACTAACGTAGCTTCAGATCACCAACTGGTTGTGTTCAAGATGTAACTGAAGCTAGAGAAACACTGAACAGCTGGGGAAACTGCAGTACAAAGGTTCTATACATCACTTCTTCGAGATACTGACAAACCCAGACAATTCAAGATAACTTTCAGCAACAGGTTCCAAGCTTTACAATATCTACTGGAAGAAAATGAGACTACCACGGAAGAAAAATGGAAAGAGATCAAAAAATCACACATTTTGACGTATCAGGAGGTGTTCGGCCGGAATAAGCTTCATCACAATGAATAGATCTCTATGGAAACCCCGGACAAAATTCAATAAAGGAATGATTAGGAACAGCCGAACAAGAACAGAGGAAGTTGACGCACAGGCTGGATACACAGAAGCAAACAAGCAAGTGAAGAAGAGTATTAGGGATGACAAGTAGAAATATGTGGTAGACCCAACAAGGACAGTGGATAAAGCTGCAAGAGAAGGAAATATCAGACAACTATATGGCACGACGAAGAAACTGGTAGGGAAACACAATAAACCAGAGAGACAGGTCAGTGACAAAGAAGGCAAGTCAATCACTGAAATTTCAAGAACTGGAGAACAGATGCGTAGAACACTTTGAGGAACTCTTGAATAGGTCAGCTCCATTGAATCCGCTAGGCATCAAAGCAGCACCTACAGACCTTCCTTTAGATGTCACTTCACCAACAATCGAAGAAATCAGGACGACCATCAGGCAAACCAAGTATGGAAAAGCATCAAGACCTGACAATTCACCAGCCGAAGCACTAAGGTCAGACATAGAAGTAACTGCAAACATTCTCCACATTCTATCGAGGAAAATTTGGGGGGAAGATCAAGTGCTGACGGACTGGAAATAAGGATGTCTCATCCAGATACCAAAGAAAGGAGATCTGAGCAAGTGTGAAAACTGAAAAGATACTACACTACTGTCGATACCGGTGCAAGCTTCCGACATAGTGTTGCTGAACCGGGTGAAAGATCCAGTGGACGTCGAGCTTCGAGGTCGACAGGTCGGAATCCGTAAAGATCGGTCGTGCACAGACCAGATCGCGACACTACAGATCATCGCTGAACAATCAATTGGATGGAATTCATCACTATACGTCAACATCATTGGCTATGGGAAGGCGTTTGACAGTGTGGATAGGAAGAACTTATGATAGTTTTCTTTGACACTATGGTGTGCATAGGAAAGTCGTGAACATCATCCGGAATTCATATGACAGAATACACTATAAGATGATGCATGGAGAACAGCTGATAGATTAATTACAACTGCGAACCGGAGTCAGAAATGCATGCTTAATCCCGTACTTTCTTTTTTTTCTTGTAGTTCACTGGATTAGGAATACCTACACATGCGAAGGGAAGTACGAGCATAATGGACAGCGCGGATTTAAGTAGACGACTTGGGTATCGCAGATGACCTGGCTCCTCTATTACATACACATCAACAAATGTAAGTCAAGACAAGCAATGAAACAGAAGCATCTGCATCAGTAGGCCCCAACATAAACCAGGTAAGAGCAAGATACTCAAATTCAGCACTGAGAACGCCGACCCAGGACAGGGTTGGATGGAGATTGCTGGTGGGCGGCCTATGCTCCCCCACGAGAGATAACAGGCGTAATGAGGCCAGTAAATCTCGAAAATCACAGCGAAAGTGAAGCGAATTCATTAGGTGATTCCAAGGTGCTACAGATACTTTGGGGTTGAATGCGTTGCTTCTCATAACACATTTACTACTGAGTATAATTCAGTCAAACCAGAAGTCAGAAACCGAATTAATGATATTTGTCTTCCATAGCAGCTACACACCGATTTTTCAAGCACAGTCAAACATTTACTACATGAATTTACGGACAGCATACAGACCAGGTAGGTTTATTCAATAAATAAAGCAACTGAGAATAAATGACAGGATGTTCATTGAGATATACGATCAAGGTAATAGTTATATTTGGATATTTTTAGGTACATTTGTAAGATAGCAGATGCGTCGAGAAGTTCATAATTTAAACTGACTAGTTTTTGTGAGGGATGCGTAACCCGGTGTACCTAGTTTTGACCCATTTTCTTATCTTATTTTTACCACCTATTTTTGTGTTTGGATCACTAAAGTAATCCCAAACTATTTCTACTATCCCACGGCTCCCTTGTAGTCCAAAGATATAGTTAGATCTCGACACGTTCGACCTGATACACGTTCCTACTATGAATGTAGAAATACATAGATTACGTTCATAAATAACTAGGACTCTAGAAATCAGCTGGAGATTATTGATCACAGACAGACATACAGTGTTCGATTAACAGTGAACAAAGGGCAGTAGGAAGTGTAATTTCCACAAAAAGAAGTAAGTAAGCACTTCTCAATCTCTTTTCCAATCATTTCTTTCCAAATATAGTCTATATTACTTGATTCTTCATGTTACCATTTTATGGGTGTGTTGTAAAAAGATCCCAGTTAAACCGATGTCAAAAGGGTTTGTGTAAGTATAAGTCCATGAGTGCTGAAAGAACAAAACCCAATAGTGATAAAAAGATCCAAAATACAACAGTCAAGTATTGAAAAGTTACTAGTGAATGTGAGCGACGATTCGAATTCTTTAACAAGCTATCATTCAATTGTAAATATGTTCCATGATAACAGAGGTGCTGTACAAAGATTTATTTACATAAACACCAGTTTATTCATATGCTTTTTTCCCTTACTGGTATGATCCGGTTTGAAAGCGTTAATGGTATCTGCGAGCCTTATTATTTTTAAAGGCAAGATAGTCTGCTTTTCATAGGTTGCAAACTTATAACGTATCCATCTCATAGATCTATCTGAAACTTAGCTTTATCTGAGGCCCTAAATTTATCTTACCATCGGAATTTATTCGGTAATTTTCAACTAAAAACTAAAAACATGATATTAGGTCTAAAACTTTTGTCAAACATGTGGTGTTCAATGCTATTGTATTTAATGCCTAAGTTGCACAAAATAACTTTGGTATACAGTATATTTACAGAATAATAAATATATTGAACCTCTGAATTTCTCAATCTGGACCACACGTGTTTGTTCTTTTGTTCCCAAAAACGATCTGAATCCAAGGCGGCTAGTCGTAATGCCAGACAAACGTGGTTTGGCTGTGCAGAATGTAGAAGATCTGGTTAGTGGAATATCTCGATATTTGACGGAAATTTTTCTAGGACGTTTCAAAACTAACTGCCTTATCACCGGAGGTCATCAGTCGTCAGGCTACCATAAACATCGGTACTATAGGCCATGTCGCCCACGGGAAGACAACAGTTGTGCGTGCAATTTCCACAGTGCATACCATTAGGCACAAAAATGAGTTGATCAGGAACATCACCATAAAGCTGGGATATGCTAATGCTAAGATATACAAATGCAATAGTGAAGCATGCATACGCCCTGCTTGTTATCGGTCATTCGGGAGTGCAACAGATGATTCCCTTCCCTGTCCTAGACCAGGATGTGATGGAACACTAACATTGCTGAGGTAAGTTGAATAATTATTTATCTGTCGTAGTAACTGCTAACGTCTTCCGGTAAATACTGTTCATTCTTTTCAGAGCTTTTATTAAATCGCGCTGATTCTTGAGTTAATAACACTCATTTTGTCACTACTCTTAGTGAGTAAGAGCACAATGTGGTGTTGTCGAGTTATTCCAATCTCTCAAGTGTCCCGAAAGTGCTTTGGTGATAGTTTTGTTCACTCACTGAGTTACTTGTTATGAAACCACCAGCCTAACATTTTAAAAACAATGGACCGAGTCAACACTTCTACTTAGCCTCCCTTTAATTCTGCAATGGCTTGTTCTGTATTGCTCTAATCGCTTTTACATGTCTTAGGGATCACGTGATTTAAATTCCCCTTGGTAAGTACGCTAGGATGGTACCAGTTACATTTACTACCATGTCGCAATCCCAAGTTCAGCCACGGGGGCAGGTCCGTTGTTCAGTTATAACAGCAAGCAAACGAGTCATGTTTAGTGGTCATGTTACTTCCGAAATTGAATTTTTGACATAATAGTTTGCATTACATTGTTATATTGTTCAGGCTATCTGTTAACGTCTTTAATTCAGCTTTTTTAATGCGCAGTGGAATCCCGATCTTCATTTAAATTATCTCACTGCACGTAGGTCATCTTTGTCAGCAAATAGTTTATTACTCTTTTCACTGTCTTGTGGACATTATTGACACTATCCAAAGTTTAGGTTTAACAATAGGGTTTTAGTTGATTTAAGAACGAGTAGCCATGTTAATTTCCTCAATCACCTATTACACTTGCCATTTTTTGTTTTGTGCTCATATTCTGTACATAAGCATCTTATTTCACTGTATTAAAACCTAATCATCTAGCTGGTGGTCTTTAATTTCTAGTCATTCATTGGGGTAAGTCAATAGTACGGCCGTCACTAGACCACAGTATATGTTATTAGGCTCATTCATCCATTTACATTCTATTAATTGATTTTAAGAGCTAAAAACCTGTTCGAAACAAATCGTGAAATCCTCCATAACGAGTGTATATGAGATTTTCTATTTTATAACTTCAATGTTTTTTTAACTAGGCATGTTTCGTTTGTGGATTGTCCAGGTCATGATATTTTAATGGCAACTATGTTAAACGGTGCTGCTGTTATGGACGCAGCATTATTGTTAATAGCCAGCAATGAGACATGCCCCCAGCCTCAAACAAGTGAGCACCTCGCTGCTGTAGAGATCATGCAGTTGAAATACATAATTATTCTTCAAAATAAGATTGACTTAATCAAGGAAAGTCAGGCACGCGAACAATATTCACAGGTAAGTCTTGAAAAACCAGGTGAAATTTCCCCATCCGATTTTGTATTGTGTCTTGATTTTTGCAATAACTTATGTATGTCGAAGGACCCTTGTTTTGTAAGTTGGCTTATGCACTTCAGCGTGTGTCGACATTTTGACCTCGAAAGTTAAATAATTAATGTCTATAAAACCTGCTTAGTGTAAATAATACCACTAAAAGGTCAGGTTGTTTAGTGTCTTCAACTTTATTAACAGTTGACGTTTTACTCTTTTGCGCTATGCTTTTGGGTTAACATGTGTTTCAGAACGTGATATACCTCTTTCAGGCAGTGTTTGTCAGATAAATAAAAGTTCTGGGTAAAACTGAAACCAATTACTGTTGTGTGACTGGAAAGTTCTTGAAGAATTTCGGAAGTCATAGTTGTGTAAAAGTGTCGCGGATTCTTACTAGACGGTGTTTATGGTCCAAACCGTGCTGGTTATCTCGACTGAAAAGATGTACTTGTGTATTGATCACATTTATATTCCTTTTTTAGATTTTACGTTTTATCCAGGGTACTGTTGCTCAAGGAGCTCCAGTTGTACCTATATCAGCACAATTGAAGTATAATATTGATGTTGTTTGTGATTACATTGTGAATCACATTCCGGTTCCAGTACGGGATTTTACATCAGCACCTCGTTTGATTGGTGAGTTGTTTGTTTTGTATATAACAAACAAGTTTAAGTGTATATTGAATCAGAGGTTATGGTTAGCTATATGGTGTCTGATTTCTTTACTTGCAGTTATTCGATCATTCGATGTAAACAAACCTGGTTGCGAAGTGGATGATCTACAAGGTGGAGTAGCTGGAGGGAGCATTTTGCGAGGGGTTCTAAAGGTATTTTATTGTGATATATGCTTTATTTTTCCTAATCATTTATTTTTTGTTCTAACTGTCTGTTTCATTTCTTGTTAGATAATGTATTTCAACAATTTTTCTTATTATCTCCGTGTAGTCCCTAATTTTTGTTCAATTGTCTTATGTAACATTTTCCAACAGGTTGGGCAAAAAATAGAAATTAGACCAGGTCTCGTTTCAAAAGATTCGGAGACTGGGGGCGTTACTTGTAGACCCATTATTTCATGTATTGTGTCACTTTTCGCGGAGCAGAATGACCTTGCTTATGCTGTTCCAGGAGGTTTAATTGGAGTTGGGACAAAAATCGATCCACAGTTATGTCGCGCTGATCGTTTGGTTGGACATGTTTTAGGACAGGTTGGCACCTTGCCTGACATATATGTGGAGTTGGAAATATCATTCTTTCTTCTACGACGTTTGTTAGGTGTTCGCACAGAAGGGGACCAAAAAGGTGCTAAGGCAAGTAGTCTATTATTCTATTTCACTCATGATTTTCTTGTATCCAATAATGCGTCTGAAAGTTTTACAACCTGGAAACAATTTCTATCGCTGACTGACAACTAACGAACTGCTAAAAGCTAAGCATCATTAGGCCTTTTTTCTTTGTTTGGGAATCTTCACCAATATGGACCTAGTTCTGTGACCCTTAATTTATATACAGTAAAACCTTTTAATACAATGCTACCATAAATTTACCACGCAACGTGGAAGAAATGGTAATTGTCATATAACTGGTCAATAAATGGATGAGATTGATGTTTAGTTCTTGAAAAGAAACCTAGGTAGATTTTGTTTAGTTAAGTAGATGCATAGTTTATGTAAAAATAGAAAACTGTAACAATCATCAATTAATTCTATTACGAATCATATCTGATGGCGTGTAAACCCATTCAGTTGGTCGGTGTCTGGGACTCTACTTAAATTGTAATAGACTAGCCTCTTTTAGTCGTATATAGTTATCTGTCACTCCACAGCTCTATTTCATAAGCTGACCACGTATTCGCTATCCACCTCGTTCTAGGATCGGGAATCAATACACAGCACAGATGCTGCTAGGATAACAACCTTGCTAAGATAACGGTAGTCAAAAACAAAGGAAATTTTGAATGACCGGTGTATTATCGCAGAGTAAAACAATATCGATTTATTCGGAATTTATAAGTCCTCATTTAGGTAACAGACCTTCCACGCCACACTACACTTCGAAAGTCTGTCGACTTCGTTCAACCTCACTGTTGGATTAGAAGTGGAATAATGCCAGTATGCATCGCTATTCACACTCAACAACGTTTTATTTGGTGGTCTGTTTTGTAAAAGTGGATTACCATTTAATTGTGGTTGACTCTGAGTGAATAAATATTGGACCACACGTTTGTCGCTACTGCCTTATAAAAGGTTTCTCATCATAGTTTAGTATCTATAATTATTGCCTTCTTTAGACTTATCTTTCCTCCTTTGTTTTGTAAACTAATAAGTTTCAATTCGTCTTTAAATAACTGTCGGAATGTGTTCGGTACTACCACATTTTAATTCTCTCAGCAAACTTTTAACTTCTTTATCATCCTGAAACGTAATAATACAAAGACCTGTTTACATTTATTATTAATTTGTTCCGAATTTTAACACAATTAATAGGTTTATGAGCTTTTGCTTGGTAACATAAAACCTTAAATGCTGCTAAAACGAATAATTTATTGTTTCTTATTTTATTGTCTCCCACAGGTCCAAAAGCTTTCTAAAAATGAAGTTTTGATGGTGAATATCGGGTCTCTTTCTAGTGGTGGATGCGTTATAGCTGTTAAAGGTGATCTAGCCAAAATACGACTAAATAGCCCTGTCTGTACTCAAGTTGATGAAAAAATCGCATTAAGCAGGCGTGTTGAAAGACATTGGCGGTAAGTAATTCAATTTTTTATTCCAGTTAGTTTTAAATAGTTTTACTGACATACGTATCACCGTACACATCGATTTCTTTTTCTCTGTAGATTGATAGGATGGGGAGAAATTCGACGTGGTGTCACAATCCAGCCCGTCCAGTGAATACCGACAAACTTCGTTTTGCATATGAAGATGAAGATCTATACCTGTGTACGCTGATTATTATCCTTTTTTGTCTTGTGTAACTTAGGTCATTGTCAAAACAAATATTTCGTAACTTGGACTTAATTGTTATTTTTTCCTAGAAATCTCGATTACCTATGTGCGACTATTTGTTAGTGGATTATAAATATCTTTTTGTTATATCAAATAAGAAATTTGTCGCAGGCAGCTAACATTGCCTTAATATCGCTCATTGGTCATGTTTAAGCGTTATTCATGTGTTTATAAAAGTTTTTCTGGTTGCCTTTACGTTTACCTACCTATCTTAGTGCTTCATTGGGTCAAATTAAATTTCAGGCCACTAGTCAATTAACTTTAATACATGCTAGAGCCTTCCAAGATGAATTTTACCGGGGTCAAGATGTATGTAAGAGGTCTTCGTGAGCACTCGATTGGTTTTCAGTGTTTAAGCAACTGTGATTTTTAAGTACTATATAAAGACGTTCCGAGACCTGCTAAACTGTATAAGATAGTTGGGGCTGGTTATTTACGAAAACAAGCGTTCTGTACTCGGAAGTGGTTTTTGAAGTTTATCATTTTTTCTCAAACATACACCTGTGTCCTACTAAGAGTATATCTAGGACCAGTGGAATAGTGATTAAGAGAAGAACATTGATCGTATCAATATGTGGATTCACTTCAATTCCCTCCAATACTGATAAAAATTCATTTGAAAGTGGTATGTATACTTTACTTGATAATACCAGAAGACGTCATCAATGAAGAGAAAGATAATCATGAAGAAATTACAAGGGTTGTTTATCTGGTTAAATATTTGTATCCTGAATAGTATAGATATTCTAGATTTTCAAAGGCGTGGATGCAGGTTGCTAGGAAATTGATATTAAGATGTATTCAGTAGCATTTACAAAGATAGGTCGATTGTAAGACAAAAATGAGGGATTATAAGAGTATGAATGATGAGTGACATATAATTATGAACACAAAGTTATTGATTATGCAAATGAACATTGTAAACTGAGATCGCTAGGGTGGTACAAGACCGACTACAGTGTGATTTCGGATAATACCGCCTTAAAAATTCGATGGCGATATTTTTGGTAAAGAGTAAGTTTGCGGCCATTTGATGATGTTAATGGTCCAGAATGACTTTAATTTCTTAACGTCGTCTCCACAATAAACTAACGATCGTGGTTTCTTAGTCTCAGTCCCTGAGGAACTTGGTCTTCAACGTAACAATAACTCCTTTTTCTACCTTAGGTGTGTACATATAGACTGATGAATACTAATAGAAATGTCAATGCATGGTTCCGTATAAAATACCGATTTGTTAACAAAGTGAGCGTTTGTCGTCAGTTAAATACAGATGCCTTACCTAACTATGAAGCAATTGAGTATGATAGTGATCCAGTGTTCTCTGTTCCCGATATATTTGTCCCCATATTAATGGACACCGTGTGTACTAACCTGGTTAGCGTTATTTTAGCGAGTTAGTTTTCGACAGGATGGAGTCGCTAACCCCATGCCCAACCCTCCTCCTTTACCCGGGCCTGAGACAGGGAATAACTCTAGAAGAGCTACAGGCGGATTCTCAACAGTCATTGGCCGGACACCATCAGTAGCAGCCTGTTGGATAGAACAAACCAGCTGAGGAGGAAATTAGGGGAACACGATGGAAATGGATAGGATATACACTACGCAAACCATCGAACTGCACCACGAGGCAAGCCCTAACTTGGAATCCTGAGGGGAAGAGGAAGGCCAAAGAACACATTACTTCGGGAAATAGAAGCAGATATGAAAAGGATGAATAACAACTGGAAAGGATTGCCCAGAACAGGGTTGGATGGAGAAAACTGGTGAACGGCCTATGCCCCTTCACGAGAAGTAACAGGCGTGAGTATGTACTAGTCTGTTTAAAATAGATGACAAATACGTTTCTAAAGCAAACATCCTTTGGGGATGTTTGAGACCAAAGTTCAGAATTTACCATGGGATTTTCGATTCGTCTTTTAATGTAGGACTGTAATTCGACTGCTTAAAGTTGTAAACTCATCCATGGTTCTCTGGGAATTCTCATTTGACTGCAAATTTTCGTCATGAGCTAACTTCAAATCCTATCGTGAACCACAGTACAACAGGGATGTGGTTTGTTTAAATTAGGAGGTCCTCATTAGTTAATGTGACTCCGGTATGGATCGAACTTGAGGCCTTTGTTCCTGTCGTCTACTTTTATTATTATTCACCCACTGAAGTCAGTCTGTGACAAAAAATTGGGATATAGTTTCGGTCAAATGGAACAAGTTATTTAAATGGTGATTAGACTATTACAACTAGGTTCATAAAACAGCATTTAATGTGACGTAGTGACAATACTTTTACTAATGTCTGTAGAATGATGTTTCCCAATCAAACGGTTGTCCTATTGTATTCACCTTTATTTTGTATTTCAGCCTGCTCTTCAGATATGCAACGTGGTTATCTTGAAAAGTAAGACAAGATGTACAAATGTAGACCAGTGTTGCAAGTATTGAGTTATTTTAAACATGGGTTTGTATTCTATCGTATATGCGATCCAAATATAAGTAATGTCGACAAGTTGGATTATATCTTATTGAAATGTTGCTTGTCTAATTTCGATTTTCCGTCTGAAATGAAGTGATGCGATCGCAATAATGAAAAGATCAAATTTTCATCATGGTATAAAAACAAATAATTAAGGCGAAAGTTTCATACACTGATCAAAACTTTGGGCACAGCATATAAGGTACTGGTCCAAGTGTTGGTGGTCTTACTGTTCGGTTTTGCTTCATACTACTTACTTGTTTGTGAGTAGTGTAGGTTCAGACTAGGATTTAAATGATGGTCAAGTCGATTAAAGGAATCAACCAATTAATAACCTTCAACACAGCATTTGATGAGATAACTACGGTGGAGACTACGAAACTATATCAACCATATTTTTGAAATATATATGATTTATCTCTCTAAAAGTTATATAACTTCAAAATCTTGATGAATATATGGAATACCTTCATGTGGATTGATATTCACCAGCATCGAATTCTTTTTAATCGGAAATTTTCTCTAGAAATCCTCTCACGATTTATTGACTTGAGAAGACAGTTGTTGCGAATTTTTGTCGCTATGTATTCTACGTGAGCACGGGTGTATTATCTTAAAGTACTGAAAGATAGGTTTGAAGAATAAAATGGTTTTTATTTATTTTCTAGCTACACATGCATTTGTATTATTTGTGAGCACTTTGAGAAGTTTCAATTGTCTATATACATGATACCAGAAATTTGCCATCATAGATTTTCAATTAAGACTCATATTGTATGTCCTATCAATATACTTAAGATATGAAGTTTATACTTCATAACTACAACACTAGTATCGATTTAATGCAAATACGTATAATGCATATGTATATAATTTCCCAGAGCTTCGTAGAAGTCTAGGTGTATTCGAAGTTTTTGAGGTATTTCTCGATTGTTACCCGCAGATTTTAAAGTTAATAGTTGTTAAAAAAGTAGATAATATCAGGTTGCCTGTCGAAAATAGCTATTCCATACACAGTGCTAAGTCAAGCTTTTATTTAATCTCCAAATAAATAAGAAAACGGAGTTTCTAAGAGAGAAGGAGGGAGGCTATAACAATAAACACGAAGATAAGTGGACGAGATTAATATATTGTGAGAGAAATAGTTCGGTTACAATGCAACGAAAAATGATTCCATTTACGGGTGGTTCTATAATTTTGACAATGAATTTAAAAGGACCTTATGTGGGGGTCACCACTGGTTTTATGCTCTTAGCCATACGTGATACCGTCTCAAGTCACTGATTTGCGCTGTTTCTCGGACAGCATTCTCGCGGTTTTGACAGACCGATTGATGTAATTTTTATGGGATTTCTTTAAGTTCACGGCACCATTTCATAAACTGACGGCCTCGATGCTTTTTCCAACTAGTCTCAGCTTTGGCAGATACATTACGATCTGGAAGTCGCCGGTATGACATTCGTAAAACATGTCCAAGCCACCGATTAGTGTTTAAGGATTCTGACACCAATTGAATATTGTAAAACATCGTGTTGCCGCTGAATGTCAGCAATCCTTCGAAGACAACGATGCTTGAACACAGTCATATAAAATCCTCAACTTGTAGAGGCCGGGTTTCATAAGCATAAAGCAAAACTGACCTCAATGACGCTTTATAAACCCGACGTTTAAGAACCAGGCTAACGTTACGACTGTTCAAAATATAGCTCAGATTGGTATAGGTCTGTGGCTTTCATTACACGCAAATAGATCTCATTAGTCACACCACCCTCCACACACTACGCTTCCGCAATACATAGATTGACCACTGACACATACATGGCTACCCAGATACACAAACCTCTCGACAATTTCTAATGTCACTATCAAGAGCGAGTTCAGGCACAGATCCCTGTCAGTCCTGAAAAAGTACTTTGCGCTTAGAATTTAGAAAGCACATGCTATACCTACGGACACCGATTAAATGAGGATCGCATGACTTGATTATCCTCGCACAGTAAAACAATATCATCCATATACTCAAGGTCGAAAAGTCTTCCTTAAGGTTAAAGTCCCTCACAACTATTTAATACTTCCGTAAGCTGTTACTAGGATGTTATTGATGGCAAAGATGAGAAAAAGTGAGACTGGGTAGCTTTACTTGACCCTGCGGCCTGAATGAAACAATGAATAGATGTTGTATCCCTTCATTCTGCGTTAGTCGCTTACGTAGAGAGCATTCAATACGTTAACAAACTTGTCAGACACACCTTTCTTCAACAGATGATCCTAGAGAACAGTGCTGTCCAACGAAACTAAGACTGGCCTGATATCAAGAAACAACGATTATTGACCTGCAATGAGTATGGAGTTGTTCTAACATTTGGTGGAGGAAAAAGATTTGATCAATACATTTTCGGTCATAACGAAAACCACCCTGGTCCTCTAGGGTCAATGTTTCCAGAGTTTTGAACAGTTAGTCCCCTAACAAGAAGGATGCCAACATCCATAAAAACTGCAGGAGCCAAGTTATCGGGAACTGAACCCGCGAATTCCACAATGGGCCAGCAGGACTTTTCGCCGAAGACGTTATCCGGGCTTGGTGATTTATGGCACTTTGGGAGTTTCAGTTCTTTGTGGACTTCCTCCTCCTTAGACGGACGGGTCGTCATTGGCCGTGAATGATAGGACAGTCCGATCGGTTTTTTAGGGCAGCTGAACTGTTCCCCGAAAAATCCTGTCCATCATCCAAGTCGGTGGATGTCAGTGATTGGTATCTCAAGAGATTCACAGATGCGTTCGCTCACACCAGACCTATTTCTGCCAGTGACTCGAATGCGTTGAAAGAGCTTCCGGCAGTTACCAGATCCAGCTACTACCTACTACCTTTCAACATGCTCTAACAAACAGGCTTCTCGCTCCTTACGAGAACTTTGCACAATTTCTATACGCAAGAATATACGTTTACCATCAGTCTCGTGGTCGTTCCGAGTTGATTGATGTGCCCCAACGAGTTTTAAGGAGTCTATAAAGACCCGATTCTTATTAGCGGTTTTGCCCGCCATTTTTATGAAGCCATGCTAATTCACTCAGTGCTCATCGAGACTTTTCAGTGGGTTGATAGCTAACTTTTCTGGTGGTAGAACTCATCCTTGGTTGCGTCCGGGCTGCAGTCTGTCGGAGAGTATTAGTAGTAGTTCGACACTAACACTCAGAAAACCGGATGAAAATGACAGGGTCCCCGGAAGATCACACGTAAAATAAGTCTTTCTAATCGACAGATGGAATGCAAACATGTGGTACTTTACTAGTCATGAATATTGGTCTCAGATAGACAACAGACGTCGACGTTAAGACTCTAAAGACATAGTCATAGGACATAGATAGGACAGAATTTTCACCATAGGCGAGCTGTTATATGAGTTGATAAATGCAGGAGTACACAAAAGGGAATAAACAAGTGACGCAATATAAAATAAAAACGAATGTTATCGAATCGTTATGAGTATAAGTGATGAGAATGAGAATCGCAGCAAGCATAATTCTCCTGGGTTGTAGCTATCATCAAATCTGTGTGTGAGTTGCAATATTGTCTGGGTGCCCAAACCGAAGCAGTTAGTTTCGTTAGGCGACCACTCCATAGCCTTCGACCTAGGGGTCCAATCTACAAGACAGTGGAATGACTTTAGGGAACGAGGTCCTATGACCCCCCCCTAGGTGGACCTTCCGTACCATGTCGGTGGCAGTGTAGTGAACAGAACACGAGTGGGGACAATCGAATTTATTGAACACTACACTACAGGACTTGGTAATAAAATCTAACAATCATACAGTAAATGCTTAATTTGCAAAATGTCCATCAATTGTCTCAAAATGACTCAGATTTCATTATTCTTGCATTTTCATACAAATTGTATTCTGTTTCCATTCTTTACTTTCTATCCTCTTGTCCCTCTGCTGCCAGACATTCTGTTCACCACTAACATCATCTACTACTTACGTCGATATAAATAGCACACACCACAGTAGCATTCACTTTTCCATCACTGAGTGACTCAAGATCGGTTAGATAGTACAAGATTTCCATCATGGGCGAACTGTTGTGTGAGTTGAAAAGTAAATGTAAATGGAGGATTGTAACAAATAAAATAAAAAGTTGAAGCTATGTAAAATATTTACATCAGTAATATAGTCACTGTAAATATTTTTCCCAATGAGTAACTTAGCGAATCGAATAAATCCGTTTCTTCATGATTATTCATTACCGTATTCAAGCGTGGCCTGGGATTTCGCTTAAGTGCCGAAGTTGAAGTGAGTGGCTTCCTTAGGAGGTCACTTTTCGACCCTCTGACCTAGAAGGTCGGTCTGCAAGACAGTGGAGCAAGGTCCTGGTGACCAAATACACTTTCGCACAACATTGTTTTCCTCAGGGTCTTGAGGTTCATGTACGTTGTTGGTTTGGAATCAGGGTTTTCCAACTGTTCTTGGTATATCTTCCGTACTCACCAACCTAGTTTGGTATCTGAATTCTCGCTTTTCATTTTCTTTATCTTATAAACAAAATCCCGGCAGTGAAAATACACTAAGTAGGATTTCTTTACCAGTGGTTATAAACTTGTAGCTACGTGTGGACTTTTCGAGAGAGAGAAAAATTTCTCCCCACCCATTACCCTACTGGGGTACTTTTGGCTAATAAAATCAGAAATTTTATCGACCGGTGATACAACGAACAACTAATTTAATGTGTCTTCTAGAAATCACTGCCACCATACACACTCAGATCAAATTTGGATCATGTTACTATTATTGGTTTTCTGATTTGAACTCATCGATTAAAATTCATTCTTAAGCCTACCAGTTTCAGGACATTTTCACGCAATCCCTTAGTTGTCAATAAATTTCGTTGAATAAAATCATCTCTTACAAATGTAACCTAACTTATGAAA